GTAAGATTTTCGGTTTTGTTCGGTTGTGTTTCCATTTCTTTAGTGGCGAGTCCAAAACTCATCAGGAAAGTTGTAAAGTGAGACGAGCTTTCGCAGAGGTTTGGGTAGTGCAGTCGTTCGATGAAACGTCTTGTAAACGATTCTTTTGCAACGAGTTTTTGGACGGTCAGGATTGGGTATGCGAGTAGTCCGTGCTTTCTACTCATGAGTAAGTCTTCCAGGATTGCCATTGATGCAGCGTTTATGCTGACTTCTGGTGTGCTTGTGATCTTGCAAATGTACCTGAAATTATAGTTTTTAATCAGCGATCTAGAGGATGAGAAGAAGGTTCACTTCATACTATTATTGCTCCTCAAAGCAGTTTGATATGAGTTTGATAATCGCTTTTCGCATTTTCATCTCTTTTTTGTCGCATTCTAGCGTAAAAATTAAAATTAATTTAAGGTAGAAGTTTGGCAATAAACAGGAAACAGTTGGAAAATAAAGGCATTTTTATGTTAACGCTAGTTTACGTTAGTTTGTTGACAAGACATTGATATCTTACCTTCTGATGATAAATAAAGTGAAAATATTTAACAATACTCGTGGGTATAAGGAACTTTCCTAACTTTTCTCAGAAAAAATATATAATCGGGAGAAACGAGGCAACGTTGGAATGCTCATACATCGTCGAAACAAAACGTAGGCCTTTTAAGCTCTATTATTCGATGCCGCGATTATCCTAACGCGAGTTCAAATCATCGCGCCAAACACAGTGCGGCCAGCGTTAAACGTACATTAGCGCCTGCAAGCCTTTAGGAATACTTCACGCATTACGCCAAACAGTGTGATCGGCGTAAAGCCCACATCAGCGCCTACAAGACTGCATGAATACTTCTCGCATTGCGCCAAACGCAGTGCCGTCGGTATCAGAAAAATTCGCGCACACTGGAAAAAAAAATCACATTGGATCTAGAGTCCAGACTCTTGAAAACATTGACAAGAAAAAGGACTCTTGATTCAATCAGATTTAAGCTTAAATCAAAAGGAAATCCGCTCAAATTAAGAGGCTGGGTTCTTGATTTAAGCTTAAATCTGATTGAGTCAAGAGTGTTTTTTCTTGTCGGTGTTTTTAAGAGTCTGGACTCTAGATCCAATGTGTTTTTTTTTTTCCTGTGCAACCCTAACAATAAGCATCTCCAAATACGTGGAAAGGGGGGCATTCGCGCAATCCTATCGTAGCTATCCTCCTGAAGAATATTAAAATGAGTGATTACCTAATGACGCCACTGGGATTAAGCATTGTCTCATTGAAATCGCGAAAACCATAGCCACCGAAATCCTCCACCAGGGTGCGGTAGTCGTCTTCACTCTTCCCGTTTCGCGCCAACAGCGCAACCGCCTCCTTTTTCGTGAACCCGAAAAATCGGGCGAGTGGGTTGTAGTGGTAAGGTTTGACCTCTGTGCCCTCTTTCCGCAAGTGCACCTTCTCAAACCTCACCGTCGTTACACCCGTGATGAGCATCTTTTTGAATTGGGAGTAGTTGTCCTTGAAGATTTCCTCGAAGAACTTAGCCACGAATTCGGCCATTTCGTTGTTGTAGGCGGCGGCGTAGGCGGAAGTGAGGGGGGTGTCGTAGACGTCGATGATAAGAATAGGTTTTGTATTTTTGTGGTCTTTGGTGACGCAATCGCAAAGAAAAGGAACGAATTCCAAGAGGGTTTTCTTGTCGGCGTTTCCGTCGGTGATCCGGGTGAATATCGGGTCGTTGAAGTGGGTCTTGACAGTAGTGTGGTCTTCTATGACCTGAAATCAAATTTTGAATTTTTTTGATCGGGAACAGGCAGTTAAGGTGATTCGATGGACACCATATTTTGTGTCAGAACGGCATGCGATGTATCGCATTACTTGGTTCCATTTTTTCAGCTACTCGTCATTTTTCTCCAAGTTTGAGATCGCAATTCTGTTGTCGGGAGACTAAAGCACTCACTTACCAATTTCAACAAAGAAATTCGACGTAATAAAGGCGTGGTTTTTTTAGAGAGAAAATATCGCATTCGAGTGCAGTTTCGATATCAGTATCGAATGCGATGTTTTCTCTCTGAAAAAACCACGCCTTTATTACGTTGACTTTCTTTGTTAAAATTGGTAAGTGTCCTGGTTAGTCTCCTGACAACAGAATTGCGATCTCAAAGTTGGAGAAAAATGACGAATAGCTGAAAAAATGGAACCAATTGATGCGATATATCGCATGCCGTTCTGACACAAAATATGGCGTCCATCAAATCACCTTAAAGCAAATGTTGAATAAAAATATTTTGGTTTCAATCATTTCTCGTGAAATAAACTGAAATATCGAACTCAGTGGTTCAAACCATAACAAATAACGTGCCCTCATTCATATACTGATTTTTAACACCTTCTAGTTTCATTGCCATGTAGTACTCGTTAAGTACGAAACCCCTTTACCACAAATCACTCGGCGGACCTTTAATGCTATGTTTACAAAATGTTTACTACAAATGTTTGAACCAATCAATATTCGTACCATTGCAGCGATTGGACGCCTGTTTGGTGTATAAAACACGATTTATTACCTATTAATCAAATTGAATGAAGAATACCTGCTTAAATATTTGACCAATTTCTTTGAGCGCGTTTTGATAATTGGTTGCCTCAAATGATCCGAAGCTTATTTTAATCACGGGATACCGATTCATGTGTTTCGCCCTGAATTCGTTCATAGTGGAGGTTTTAGCCATGACATTAAGCCCCGAAAAGAGACGTTTCGACTGGCTAAGGTCATACTTGGAGTTGAAAAAGTAATCCACGGTTGACGCCATGAGTGATTTTCCGAATCCAGGCGGTTTTGTCACCAATACGATTGGACCTTTATGCTTTTCCTCGCGGGATATGAAGTCGGGGAGGAATAGGGTCTTGTCTACGTACAGCTTTTGGTGATTCTCCATGAATTCTTTAAAGTCGGTGATTTGTTGTTGGTTGGATCTCGTCTTCGATAAACAGTCGGTTTTTTCAACATTGGTGATTTTTGTCTGGTTTTTAGTCACCACAGATTCGCCCGACCCTTTAGTAATCAGGACGTGTAAAATTGATAATAAGATTGCATAAATAGTTCTTTCCATTTTTTGAAAATAGAGCTACGATTTAAGGTTTCCTTATAACCGAAAAACTTTAAAATAACACCAGAAGAGCTCTAAGTGAACGCCATGACTAGTCTTGGCGTTTTGGGCAGTGAAGTGATTTTATCATCAATCGAGAAGAGATTTTATCGGTGTTGACAAGTCCCATGCGCTCTTGCCAAACTGAGGCATATTTATTCTTTGTCTTGAGGTATATAATTTTAATTTGGAGTACATACATTAAAAATGGCGTCATGTCAATGGCCTTTTTAAGTGCCTACTTCGTGTCAGCCGTAGTAAATACGAGAAAATGACCATTGCTTTAATACACCCATTCTCGTTCTCTCATTCCTGACTTATTACCTCTCTACAATGCCAAAATAATGTTAGGTTGCGGCTACTAAACTTTGGTGTATATTGAACACCACGAACTTTTTCGGTTCAAGTAGCCAGTTTTTGGTCTACGAAACCGAATTCTAGTAAGCTGAACCAAAGTATAACACTTGTGTGACCGAAAACTTCGATTATACCTAAACCGAAGAAGTTTCCTATTGCTATGCAACACACACAAGCTTTATTTCACCGTCTGTCTCGAGTTTTCTTGAACATATGAACTTTTCGTGCAATTTGAAGCATGAGACAACGAAAGGAAAAAAATTTACGCAATACATTTTAATTTCTAAAACAGAATGCTTAGAAGAGAGAGAGAGTTAAGGCATAGGGAACGAGGAGGAAGCAGAACTCGTAGAGATCCGAGAGTTACTTGGAAAATGCTGAGTTATATTAAACATCACACTAAAAAATGTCCGATCAGTTGTGCTGGTCACAGAAGCGTGTTTTGATGCTTGATTCTTGTATAATTAAAAATTATAAGATCTTTCCAAACAGAAACTTTCTAAGTTGAATAAATGAGAATTCGCGCTTTGATAAATTCGGTTTATGACGTCATATACAACGCGATAGTAACATCCTTGGTTTCTTCAACCTTGCTTTCATCCAAGTTTCACATTGAGTAAGCAGTGCAAACGTGTGTTTCCCTGCCTGACGAAAGTAAGGCGCACTGGAAAAAAAACACACTGGATCTAGAGTCCAGACTCTTAAAAACATCGACAAGAAAAAATACTCTTGATTCAATCAGATTTACGCTTAAATCAAGAACCAAACCTCTTAATTTGAGCGGATTTTCTTTTGATTCAAGCTTAAATCTGATTGAATCAAGAGTCCTTTTTCTTGTCAATGTTTTTAAGAGTCTGGACTCTAGATCCAATGTGTTTTTTTTTTCAGTGTGCGGAAGAAACCAAGGCTGTCACTAAAACAAATGTTTCAAAGCGCAATATCTCGGTTAATATTGAACGTAGAGAGTTGCTGATTGGACAGATCTTATTATGTTCAGCTAATCCACAAGAATCAAGCATCAAAACACGATTCTAAGACCAGCGCAACTGACTCATTGAATCATTCTAAACCCGTGAACTGTTCACAGTACCTTATTCGTTCATCGATCCGTCGAATTTTGATTACTGCCGTCTGCGAATCCCTGAAACCGCCTAAGACAGACATCCACGAACGACTTGCCATACCGGACAAGTATCTCCGTCTCATTTTTCGGCACAGCTGACGTCATCAACTTGGCGACTTTGCCCTTCATCTTCGTCCACCCACCCTCGGGACTCGCCATTTCTACCATGCGCACTCGGATGGGAACCCCATAATTCCCTCCGGGTAACATCTCAATGGAGTCTAAGCCCTGTTTGTGGTGTACGAACTTGGCTGTAGTGTCGTAGCGCAGCTCGACCCCGTAGAGAATTTCCCCTATGTAGAAGGATAGAAGTGTCTTGGGTTTGTCTTCCACTGGATCGCTCCAGAAGGCTTGCTTGAAGAAATCGCCGGGGTTATCGAGGTAGGATTTCAACGCGGGTAAAGCGCTCTCGAAGTCTCCACGAACGAGGCTGTCCGTCATGGCGAAGTAGTCTGGTATATTTCCCTCTCCATCCCCTAGAAGGAAAAAAAAACCCATTAAAATAAGTAGTTCTCTAATTAATGGGGTTTATTGCTCTTGATAAACTAGGCTGAAATGGGCGACGACTTCTTAAGGTTTTTTGCCTTATGGCAGTTTTCATCAAAACAAAAATGATTTCCAATAAATATACTTTCCTCAGCATGGAATAAAGTATATTAACTCATCCCACTGAGAAAAAGTTGATGCATTAAAACGAAAGGAATAGTCTTGTCTGCAGTTTCTCGTTGCACCTAGGGAAGCTTTCAATGTATCAAGGGGTTTCAGGACATTTTGTCAACGATTTTTTGTCCAGTAGTTTACGCCCACACGTAAAATAAGTAACAGTGACTTGGTCCAAGCGTTATATTTTAGTCGGTATGTAAAATTATATTGACAATATGGAAATGAGAAATTGAGAGAGAAAGAGGTGTTATGGTTGCTCATTTTCTAAATGAAATGTTATTACTTTCTCCTTTTGAATCATCTTTTTAAATTGTCATTGGTGAATATTTGGTTTTATTTCTATCCTTAAAATATTTGATGTACAATATCATTATCATTAATATAAACTTCGAAGGATTCTGCCTTTTTCTATTTCACTCGAGGGGAAGTGTCCCCTCCCGGACTCTCTTCCCCACCCGGTGACTGACGCTGCGCTGTGCTGAACGGTTCAGCCTGAACCTTTCCCCTACGTCTGACCGTTCCCCACTCCTCTGTCAATCGAACCAT